GTATATATACTGTATATATACTGTATATATGTAAATGTGTGTGCATAAACAAATAACAGCATAAAAGAAACCAAATGAATGAGTTGTATGAAGGAACAAGTAAGAAAAATGTATGAATGCTGCATTTCTGTCTACAACATAAATTTGAGTTACAAATAAAACAAAACCCTTGATTTATCTGAGTCATCGGTTTATTATTTGATCATCTGTGAGATTGTATTTGAGAAATTTATTTCAGATATCATTAAAGATTGATATATTGAGTTTAACAGTTAACTTTTTCATTGCACTACATTGAGAGAYGGAGTTAAGGCAGTGATTGATTTGAATTAACAGTTCTGTAATCTGGTGATAATTAAATGAGTATTGTGTTCTACTGAAATATTGTATTTTACATGCAACTACAATACGTCCAGTACAGATWGAAAATTATTTCAGTCTCTTCTAATTTTGCTTGGCATTACCATCTCCCCTTTTTTTCTGCCAAACGTCATGCAGAAGTGACTGCCAGATCCTTGAGTGCTGAGTGGGACATTGTGCATACAGCAGGTCATTAATGAGCTCCAGTCAGACCAGAATGCTTTACAAAACTATAAGCATCTGCTGCACAGAGGCAGGTGATGTGTTGGCATTCCTGATGTGGCGAGGAGCTTGGTCAGCTTTATTTTTTAAAGACGTGTTTGTTTCCAGTAATCTGGGTATGGAGCCTGTTTCGTTTGAAGCTGTGGAGGATTGGGACACATAATCACTGAGTTCTATGTTTGGTTTTCTGCAAAGTTTTGAAGTATTAGTTTAGAGAGTATTAAACATGGTTCTCATTGCCTTGGACAAGGGTGTGAAACACATTTTCACCGAGGGCCACTTGAGTGTTATATTGGCCCTCAAAAGGTCAGTTATAGATGTTTTGTTTTTAAATCTGGCTAAACAAGAAACATCACTTTCTTCATCTCATTCTACGACAGAGCACTGCTAACAAACAATAACTGCGCTCTACGTGGTATTTCCTGCTTAGAAACATTTTAACACATCCTCTTATATACCCTGAAAAGTACTACGTGTTCAACTGAATAAATATGAAATAAATAAAAATATATGTATTATAAGTAAAAATATGAGAGTTTTACTCAATGTTGAGTTGTGATGAGTAGCTGCCATCTTGAATTTTAAGGCTGAGTTGCTCCCATTTTCTGACAAGAAATTCCCATGGCAGGGGGCATTCCAGTGTAAATTTTTGACTTGTAAGAGGGAAATTCCTACTTCCCAGTACAACTGGGCTGCAGCAAAAGTAGCTGGTGAAAATACAGTGAAATGGAGATTGTACATGTTGAATTTCACCGGCTACTTTTGAACCCTGTGCACTCCATAGTATTGGGATGCCCACATGCATTATGGGAGATGTAGTTTATGGCCAATGCTGATTTTAAAGCAGCAAACGCTTTTTTTAAGACATCACTACATCTTTGAAACTCCACATAATTATGCTGTGGTAGGCCTCATTTGGCCTGAGCGCCTTGCGTTTGACACATGACCTTAGATGTGACTTCATTATCATAAAGTGAAAAAAATGTGATTTTTAAACTAATTTTAACTTTTGATTAAGACTTAACTTTGTACTTCTATCAATAATCAAACTGTTTTTTTTATTTTGATATATTTTTCATGTTGTTCTTTTTACTCTTTTATAATAAATTGGTCATATGATAATTTGTAAAAGGTGTGTTATATGATATTTTAACTTTTTAACAAGAAACCCAAATTTTCCTATATTTTTTATTACATTCCCACTTGTCATCTAAAAAAACCTGGCAGATGCTTTTAAGTTGCAATTTTTCAGTTGCTTCACCTGAACCTGACAGTCTAAGGGGTAAAAGTAGAAATCTTGTTTAAATTCCCTTTTTTACAGATGATAAAAGGAAATTAAAAGTTATAGTTTATAAATTTGTGTGACAGATAAACCCTTTTTTGAATTATAACTTTAGTGTAACATTAAAATAATTGTATATAAACCCTTTTGAGCTAATTTTGCCTGCTTGGCCACAAAACTCCGAGTCTCTGTAGGTGTTTTCACAGAGTCTATGTGTTGGCGTTAATGCACATTCTGCAGTTTGTTGACTTAAAGTCAGCAGGAGGACCGTTCTGCGAGGGGAAGCCCACGTTTCCACATGCCTTGCCTGTTTCCTCCTGCGCATGTTCGGATCGCTAACTGCTCCGCTGAGTGTGTTTAATTGTGTGGCGAGCAGGCCGGCGTGCAGCTCCTGCTTTGATTGAGACTTCACAAAGCATGACGAGACATTTTATTGGAAACATTTTTTTTAAGACTTTCAGGAATGAAGTAACTGTAAATAAAGAGGTTTGAAAGTGTTTGATCTATCCTTTGTTATCCTGCAGAGCTTCAGGCCCCCTCCTGTCTCCTGGCATGAAGGCAACAGGGACTCCTCCTCCTCCTCCTCCTCCTCCCTCCTTGCTGGAGAAACAGCATGTTCATCCTCATCACAAGCCCTACTCTCACTATCATCAGTATCAGCCAACCAACGATGGTAAGACTAACCCAAACACCAATTAGACTGAATTCATCAAACTTGTTCCAGAAAATTATTTTTATTTTATTTATTTATTTCATTCGGACAAACAATTAAAACAATACAAACTAGAACTGCAAAGCAGTTATGACCGGGGTCCAAGCCCTTTTATGCATGTCAGCCATTGTCATGTTGTTTGTAGCATATTGTT